TTTAAAGTGGATAAAAACAGAGGGAAAGATAGAATAAGAGGGGGTGCCCCTGGTTAATGGGGACTGGCGTGCACTGGGATTGGTTGCTTAAATAACAACCAGGAGTGAATTTGTTCACCAGCCTTTATGCTGATATTTTCTTATTTTATTCTCCAATCTATCACAGCAATTATGCATCACTGAACACCTGGACACTAAACTATAAAGCTTTCTTTGATAGTTTCTAGTAGACTCAAACTTGTACTGTTGGCCTGTTTTACCTTTTACAAAGGATTTGGAGTCATGTAGCCAAATTTTGCTGGGGATTTCAGCATCTGAGCACCTCCTAAATCCCATCCCTCCTGCCCAGCTGGGAGAGCCCCGGGCTCAGTGCTCTGACCCTCTTGTGCTGGTGGGAAAATTGCTGTTCTTTCTTCTTCTGAGTTCCTTCACCATTTGCCTTTTTGATTTTTTGAAATTTATTGCTTCAGTATGAGAAGCATTTAATTAACTCAGTGAAGGAGGTTCCAAGGAGATTTAGCATTTATTAATGTCTACTTCTTTGCTCGATTTTGCTGTGTTTAGATCCATAGAAGTGCTGGCCACTAAAAATTTCCTTGGGACCATCAAGTTCCCCTGGAGCTGATGTGTAAACTCTCCATTCCCTGTGGAAACCCTGAACAGACATTACAGTTTGCAGAGCAAAGACAGCTTTCCACTTAGGACAGTGCCTGGCCTGCAGGGAAATCAGGAAGGTGGTTAAAAATCAGAGAGTTTCAGTCTTGTGAGAAATTTCCTCATCTTTGTATTTGCATTTATTTTGCATCAGGATGCAAATAAATATTTTCAATATTTCTAATCAGAATTATGTTTTAAAATATATTTTTGTATTTTTCTGTTTGTTTTCTGTCTGTGCTTTTAAACTTTTAAATTAATGATGTTTCTTCCTTTTTTTGAGAATACAGAAGTATTAGATAGCTCAGCTTGTCTTTAAAATAGATTATTTGAAATAATTTAGAACAGCTGCTTTTGAGCGATTGAGTCATCTTATTTTTTTAGATTAGAGTCTCTTGTTTGTTTTGTAATGAAATGCTTTGACACTTGGAACAAGAAATTAAGATAAATATTCAGCATACAAACCACAAGACAGGTGTTTTTTCCAGCATCCTTCTTTTTCCAGAGAAGTGCTATATTTCTTCTCCAGACATGTTTTTGTGCTTTCATAAATTACTCCAGAGTCGGAAATTTCCACGGTTTTTCAAAAATTTTTCACTTTCTGATTCCCTGCAGTTTCTCTTGCTTCAGAAAATTGAGTTTAAATCAGTTGAGAAGACTGGAAACTCTTGGTGCCTTCCTTTTAACCCGCTATAATTTGGTGGAGCACACATGGAAATGAACAGAGAAGCAACACATTGATTTTTGTAGGAGAAATCCTCCCACCCAGGGCCATGGCTACACACAAACCCAGGATTGTGGCACTTCTGAGTTGCTCCAGAGCGGAAATCCCAGTGCCCAGCCCCTGGAGCTGCTGCTGGCTGGGAGGAGGGTGGCAGAGCAGGGATGTGTGCCAGGCCAGCCCCAGGACAAGCTGCTGGCAGGGCCAGCTGTGGCTGCAGCTGGAGTGGCAGCTGCTGTCACTGTGCCTGCAGCTCCAGAGAGGAATGAGGCTGAGCCAGAGCTCTCAGCTGTTGATCCACACTCAGGGCAGCACTCAGAGCTAAAAAGCAGCAGGTAGCTCACTTGGAAGAGAACAATGATTGGTTGTTTGTTTGTTTTTTGCTGAGCTGGAAGAGTTTGCCTTCTTTTCCAAGTGGACAGCTCTGTTTCCAGAGCTGCTTCCTCTGCTTCACCTGGGGTTTGGCTGCTTAAAGCAGCAGCACTCAGCAATTACAGAAATCCACAGACTTCTCAGCCACACAAATGTTTGTGTAGAGGAGTGTAGAATCCCTGGTTTTATAAAAGGCAGCCTGGAGAACATCAGGTCCTCGTGGTGGTGAGGAGAGTCCTCCCAGAAGTGGGCAGGGGCTCTCCTGGCAGTGTCTGTGTGTCCTTTAGCCCAGGGGCTCTCCTGGTAGTGTCTGTGTGTCTGTCTGTGTGTCCTTTAGCCCAGGGGCTCTCCTGGCAGTGTCTCTGTGTCCTTTAGCCCAGGAGCTCTCCTGGCAGTGCCTGTGCCCTTTAGCCCAGGGGCTCTCCTAGCAGGGGCTCTTTGCCCTTTCCTGCCCACTCCAGTCACTCAGAGCCCTCCTGGAGGGAGGGAAGCAGAGAAGAGCTCAACCCTGATGAGAGCAAGAATTGGTTGCTCTTTCTGCACCATTTGCACTTATCAACCCCTAAATATTTCTGCTGCTGGACTGGGTGACCCTGGACACATGCACAGCTTTGCACTGTTATGTTTCTGTTCTCTGTGCTGCATCCAGGTACTGTTAATGTGTTAAAGTCAAATGTTCAGTTTTGGGGACAGGGGTGCTCTGAATAACCCCACACCACCTGGTTTAACAAGGTCTGTGTCTACTGGAAAGAGACTTTGCTGCAGAAAAGGTAAACTCCCATTTGGGTGTGCCACAAATCTCTCTGCTGGAGTTTATATATCCTGAAAAGAACCTTGGGAAATCCTGAAGTCTGATTTGAGTGAGCAATTGCTCTGAAAATTGACCCACACTACAATATCAAATTGGGGACATTGTCTCAAGTGCTCTTTCCTCCTTCTTTGCTACTTGTGAGTTGACCCAGGTTGTTTTAAGGTCCCTTGTACTCATTCTCTGCTACAGTCAACAGAAAAATAAAGACTGGGTTGGTTTGTTTGTTGTTTTGTTTTTGGTTTTGTTTTTGTTTTTTTTTTTAAAATCGGGGGGTTCCTTTTTTTTTTGGTTTTTTTTTTTTTTTTTTTCTTCTTTTTGAAAGCTTTTGTAGCTCTTTTTGCCTTAAGGGGATAGGGGGGTTTTAGATTTTATTTTTTTTAAATAAGGAAAAATAACTGTTTCTGTAATGATTTTAAAACTGCTGAAGGTAGCAGAATACATTTATTTATATGGATGGAGATCAAGGACAAGTGCATCTTTCACTGTATTTATAACCTTCAGTATAATGGGCTTGAAAATAAATACCACTGATTTTGCATAGGCCACTGCCTGACCTGGGCATCCTGTGAATGCGCTGTTCAGTGCCCCAGGTGTAGAAAGTTCCTTTTCTTCTCCCCCAATTCCTATTTTGCTGATTCTCCTTTGTAGTTTTATAGAATTTTTATTTCTCTAGCTCTTGTTGTGCCAACAGAGCATACAAGATTGCATTGGCTCATTCCTACATAACATTAAATTAAATGCATTTTTCTTTCTGGATTTTAGCTATGGCATGGACAGGGTCATGTCTCTTGATTTAAGTATTTGTTTCTCAATTTAATTCCAATGGTCTTCTTACAAATTCCCTTGCCTTGAAGTGCCTTGATGTGATAAGAACTCTCAAAATACTGTCCCATGCCAGCTGGTTCTTGAGTCCCTGAGGGAAAAGCAGTGGGTGGAGAGATTTTCCTCCTGTTTTTAATTTGTTGTTTGTTTTAAGAACCATTATGCTCAGAGGTCTCTCTTTCTCAGGTGTCTGGCATGTAATAAAAACTTAAACCCAGATTATAATTCCTGGAAAAATTAGCTGGTTCTCAATGAAACCACCTGCAAGCTGTCTAATTATAATTCCTTTAAGAGTTCTGCTTCTGTACTTTCTTGTTGCTGGTGTAATTCATGCCCTTTCTCTGTTACACTGCCTTATCTTGGATGTCAGCTCTGTCTAAACTCTTCTTCTTTGTCCAAATAACAGGGTTCACATGCTCTCACCCTTCTCTGGTGTCAGTAACATCAGTCTTGGTCTCTTATTTATCCTGTTATTATTAAAGCCTCCCTTTTTAAACAGTGGATATTTATTCTTCCTCAAAATGCAACATTTTCCTCCTGTCATAAAGCAAGTGACTTAAAGATTTTCAAAGGCTCTTTCACAAAGGCTGGGAATTAGATTCTTGTGGAGACCTTAATAAAAAATTGAAGACCTCATGTATTAACATACATTGATTTATTCATAGTGTTTCATTACAAATAAGTGAGGATCCCATAATATCAAAAAAGGTGAGGAGAGCAGCAGAGCATGGTACATTATATTGACAGCTCTGTTGAAATTGAGCTGCCTTGGGATTGAATTTGGAACTCAGGCAAGGAATTGGCTGGTAAATAAGTCATGAGTTTCCCTTGAAGTGTCTGTACATTAGGAGGGTTGCTGTGGGTGAGAGTGCTGAGCTCAGGCAGGTTTCAGGGTGTGCTGGCACCAGCTGCAGGTGTACTCAGGACATCCTCCAGGTCTGGAGCCCTCCTGGCTTCAGCCAGGTGTAAACCAGACTGCACCACGTGTAAATCTGCACTCTGAGGCTCAGAATGAGGGCAGGGACAGCAGAAGCTGGTTTCCACAGAGAGAAGGGCTTTTGCCTAAAGACGTGGTGAACTTTATTTCATTTAAACATATTATTTCATTTCAGCGTATTCTCTGTAGCACAGGAAAAGGCCTCCAAAGCTTTTTTTTGTCAGAAAAAGGCTTCCATTGTTTTCAGTTGCCTTTTGAGGAGATGATTTGCCAAAAGGAAACATATCCATGTTTGCGCTCAGGGTTTTCATGAGCTGTGGGCGTTGCATGGGTGAATTCTCATGAAAATCCTGCCGGCCGTGCTGTGTGCTCTGGTTTGACAACAGAAGTTCTGAGCTTGGGAGCATAAGGCGACTCTTCACATCTTTTGTTGTAAGTCAGCACGTGCTGAGGCTTTAGCTGAGAGAGGAAATTGGTTTTTCCCTAAGTAAAGCATTGGAAAAATTGTCATGTTGGTTTGACAGCACCCAAACACAAAATGGTTCCTGGGAGATATGGAAACAATCCTGAAATAATTCCTTGTGTTTGCAGTTCAGCCTCGAGAGGTGACAAAGCAGGGGAGCCGGGAGAGGCCGGGTGCAGAAAGCCCCTCATCACCTCCTGTGCTTGTTCTTCATTTGCAGATCACATACAAGGCTGTTGGGTCTCTGGATCCCAGTGCTGACCTGTCCAGCCAAAGGGGGAAAGTCTTCAAGCTGCGGAATGAAACCCATCACCTTTTTGTGGGATTGTACCCAGGCACCACCTACTCATTCACCATCAAAGCCAGCACAGTCAAGGGCTTTGGGCCGCCCATCACCACCCGGATAGCAACCAAGATTTCAGGTACTGAAAGAAGAAGAAGAAGAAAAAAATCTAGGGCTTTATCCTTCAAACTCAAAGCTGGCATATAAAATTATTTTAAAATACTCAGCTTAATGTCTCTCCAAGTTTCATAGAGCAGAGTTTTGAAACAGCCACAGACTTTTGTTTATTTGGGTTACAATTACAGTGGTTAATTTGTGGGTGTCCTAAGTATCCCTGGATATCTGTGGAGCATTTTAAATGAGAACCATCATTAGTTCCACAAATGAGCTACCCTTATAGTAATTATTGTTAGCATTATCTGCCTGGCTGGGGAAACTCCTTCTGTAATGTGGTTTTTTATTTTCAGGATGTACTAAAATGGATGTAATGAAGTAATTGAATTAATAGTGCAAAGAGACTAAAAATAAGGGAGGAAAGCTGTTTTTCTTGGGTTTTTTAATGGGTAAGAGCAGAGAGAGGGCTTGAGGCATATAAGAATATGAAAGGCACTAAAATAAGGAGGCAATGGAAAACAGAAGGTGTGGGAAACAAAAGGGGGAACAGGGCAATTGTATAAAAAAATTGACTGTAGTGGTGATATTGGGCAGATATATGTGGATTTTAACATTTAGTTGATAGCACTAAAATAGATTTTTAAAATAGGTTTTCTAACAGAGAGAAATGCTGTCATTTTCTGGAGTATTTTAACAGTTTTTTCCAGTAAAGTCAAAATACACATCTGGAACATTCAGGATACTGGTAATGCTTGAAATCATGGCTGGTTATTGTAGAAAAGATTGCACTACAGTATAGATTTTCCACTGCCCTATTTCAAAATCAGTTAATAATAGCAAGTTGAGAGCAGTAAGTGACAGGGTAAATTTTAAGGAAGCAAAGCACATCTCCTCCCTCTGCTCGGGGTTTGAACCCTTCACATTTAGCACTCAAGCCCTGAACCACTTGAAGTAAAAGCCATTAAGTGTCCAAACAGCTCCGTGGGCTGCTGGGGGCTCTGCAGCCCTGCTGTGAAGGGACAGCACAGCATGCACTCCATTCCCTTGTGACCAGAGAAATAAAAAACACAGCAATGGTTTGGGGGCCTTTTCTCCTCTGATTCACTTTCTTTTCATTTTATCATCCCATGAGTGCTCAAATTGTGTTAGCAGCCTGCATGAGTGCCAAGTATATGCATACTGAGCTTGGTTTATTGACTTTTTTACCCCCCATCTCCCAAATATCTGGCTGTCAATAGGTGGGTAAGCATTAGGGTTGTCTCTGGCATTAGATTCTCTCATTGCATGGTCAAGTTTCTGATACATTTTCCAAATAATTTGAATTACCATTAAATTTGCTCTAAGAGGCAGCCTCAAGGTTATTAGGGAGAAGAAGGATGTTTGCACTGACAGGAATGTCCTTGTAGGCTGTATTTATTTTTTTTCACATGGAAAGACACCTGTGCTGTAGCAATGTGTGTATTTGTTTCTGTGGGTGCACTAAGTCATGCTGTAGCACCGTCCCCTCTGGCCAGAGGGCTCAGCAACTCCTGCTGTGCCATCGAGGCCAGCAGGTCAAGGGAGGGGATTTTTGTCCTTTCCTCCACCCTCATGAGACCTTACCTGGAGCTCTGCATCCAGCTCTGGGCTGCTCAGCACAGGAAGGATATGGAGATGATGGATTGAGTCCAGAGGAGGCCACAGAGATGCTCAGAGGGCTGGAGCCCCTCTGCTCTGAGCCAGGGTGGGAGAGCTGGGTGTGCTCCCCCGGAGGGGAGAAGGCTCTGGGGTGACCTCATTGCAGCCTTCTACAGGAGTACCCAAAGGAGCTCCAGGAGAGATGGAGAGAGACTTTGGACAAGGACCTGGAGTGACAGAACAAGGGAATGGTTTTAACCTGACAGAGGGCAGGTTGGATGCTAGGGAGAAATCCTTCCCTGTGAGGGTGCTGAGGCCCTGGCACAGGGTGCCCAGAGCAGCTGTGGCTGCCCCTGGATCCCTGACAGTGCCCAAGGCCAGGCTGGACAGGGCTTGGAGCAGCCTGGGACAGTGGAAGGTGTCCCTGCCATGGCAGGGGTGGGACTGGATGATCTTTAAGATCCCTTCCAATCCAAACCATTCTGTGACCTCCAGCATCTCCAGTGATCTCTGGTGTGGAAGACCACTGGGGATGTGTCTCGTTTCAAGGAGTCACTGCTTCCCCTTGATGGAGAGCACCTTACTCCAGAGAAATCCTTCTTAAGCAGTTGACATTCACTCTGAATACATTCCCAGCTTATTGACAGGGAAGCCAGCAGCTGAGATGATAATAGCAGCCCCCATTCTTGACAGCTTTCAGGCATTTAGATAAAAATCCTGATTGTAAACAGGATTACAGTGGAAATCACTATGAGAGGATTAAATATGGGATCCCCACAATGCAGCTTGCCCTTGTGAGCTACAGATGAACTATTTGTGTGAATTCTTCTGTTTGTTTTATACTTTAAAGTTATTTCAGCAAAACCTGCATCTTTGGAACAAACTTGGTGCTGCTCTGACCTCATGATCTCGTCAAGCCTTCAGCACTAAAACTTGTCCCAAAGAGATGCCTGCTCCTGGGGAAGGAAGAAGCAATAAGTGAAACATATTTCCTAAGGAAAGTTGTCCTACTTTCATGGAATGGTCCTAAGAGAAGATAACAAAGCAGAAGGAGAAACTAGAGTTTTGCTGAGTGGGATTTTATTCAGTGGGTTTCTGTATTGCTGGGGGGAGCAGGGTTGGGGTTGCCATGGCTGGGCACTGCCCGAGGGTGGCACTGGGATCTCTGCAGCTGCCTGGTGAGTCAGCAGCACTTAAGCACTAGGGTAAAATATCCTGGGTTTGGGTGCAAAAATAACCTGCCTAGTTTGTGCTCCTCTCTTTTCATCTTTTGTGCTTCCTAGCACACCCTCCAGCTAATCAAGGGGACCAGATTAAGTCTGTGCATTAGAATCTCTTAAGATGTGAGAGGGCAAATCCACTGAGAGGGCAAATCCACTGACCAGAACAGGGAAAACCGTTCAGGATTCAGGGGTACTTTTAGCTCTGCCACTGATTCACTCATCCTAATAATATGGGTTTTTCATAATGTCTATGCAGATTCCTTTCCTCACTTTAACACTGAAGGAATGGTCCCATCTCAAGGCATTACTAAGTCTTAAAAATTCAAGACAGGATTTTCAGAGCCAGCTTGAAGATTGTCCGATTCTTTTTCATTGGAATGGAAAAAATATTTAGCAGTTTTGATCATTCTGGTCATAACACTGGGAAGTATTTTGATATTTCATTTGAGAAATGTTAATATAACTTTGCCATCCCTACCAAAGGCAGTGGCTGGTGCTAATGAAGGCGTTCTTTGTTCTGCTGCAGCTCCGTCCATGCCGGAGTACGACACGGACTCTCCCCTCAATGAGACTGACACCACCATCACCGTCATGCTGAAGCCTGCTCAGTCCCGGGGAGCACCTGTCAGGTGGGTGTTTTGTCTTTTCCCGTTACACTTCCCTCCTCTCCTTCCTCCCCAGGCTTCCCTCACTCCTCTCTCATTCTGCTCTGATAATGGAGCTGCCGAAAGCAAGCGCTGACTAAAAGGCCAACTGAGCTGTTGATTCTGCCTTTCACACTCTCCTTTCATGAATGCTTCAGCCTCCTTGCCTCCCGCTGTTAGCCTCCAGGAAGGATTGCTGCTGGCACTGTTGGGGTTATTACCCTCTCAGCATCACTTCAGATGCCTTTGCAGTGCTGGAGCACAGCGGGATGTGGAGCTGGAGACTGAACATCCCCACACGAGGGTGGAGGAGGCTCCAGGTCTCCATCCTGCCCCCTCTTCCATAATGAACAAGACCTGCTGGTAACTATTCTAGGAGTGCCTGCCTTGTCTTTAATGCTTGTGGAGGTATTTGCTCAGTTTCTGGATTTAACACACTTCTCACACTCGTAATCCAGCTGTGCTGCTGGGGTGGCTGTGCAGTGAAGTCCAGAAAAAAAGGAATTTTGATTTAGTGAGGCTTTGCTAGCACAGACAAGCAGATCCTGCTGCAGAGTAGAGGATTTACAGATCACAGAATCATTAAGGTTGGAAAAGACCTCCAAGACCATAGAGTCCAACCTTTTACCACTCACCACCTTATCAACCAGCCCAGAGCACTGAGTGCCATCTGCAGTAATTTTCTGAACTCCTCCAGGGATGGTGACTCCACCATGTCTGTGGGCAGCCCCTTCCAATGCCTGACCACCCTTTCCGTGAAGAAATTCCTCCTGATGTCCAACCTGAACCTCCCCTGGCACAGCTTGAGGCTGTTCTTGTCCTGTCCCTTGTGGGAGCAGAGCCCGACCCCCACCTGGCTGCCCCCTCCTGTCAGGGAGTTGTGCAGAGGGAGAAGGTTCCCCCTGAGCCTCTTTTTGTCCAGGTTAAACAACTCCAGCTGCTCCTCACGTGACTGAGTCTCCAGCCCCTTCCCCAGCTCCCTTCCCTTCTCTGGACATGTGCCAGCCCCTCAAGGTCTTTCTTGCAGTGAGAGCCCAGAACTGGACACAGAACACAAGGTGTGACCTCACCAGTGCCAGGTACAGGGGTGCCATCCCTTCCCTGGTCATTTAGGGGCAGGGAGCTGCCCAGGCACCCATGGCATAGGGGTGGCACCTTGCAGGGAATCTTGCTGCCTGTCTGAGCTGGGTGCTGCTCTGAATGGGGACGTGCTGATGTGGGACACTCACCTGCAGGTCATTCCCTCACTTGGAGTTCTGTACTCATCACTCTCTTCCATCTCAGTGAATTTGTGTTTGGTGCAAGGCACCAGCACAGACGAACAAATTTCCTTTCTGAGCCCACACTGCCTTACCTGTTGCTGCCCCTCATCCTGCCAGGCTCCTCTGCTGACAGCAGCAATTGGAATCACTTATAAAAACAGTGGGTCCTGCCTTGCAGAGGAGTCCAGCACATATTCATTACCTCCCTGTGGGATCTTCAAGCTTTTACTTCCAGTGTTCACAAGAGACTCTTGAAGTTTTTCCCATGGGTGTTTAAAAAACACCATAGTTGCCCCTTTCATAATGTGTTTCTTTCATTTTGGGTTTCTGTATCCCACTGACAGGTTCTTAATGCTTTTGAAGAATGCCCACTAAGTATTCAGGAGCAAATTGCTCTAGATGCAAAGCACTGGATTTAATTAAATATCCTATATCAGGTGGTGATCCCCCAACTCTGTTGTGGCTTGGCCCCAAATTGCATTGACAAGCTCAAACAAAACCAAAAAAATCCATTCCTTAAGACTAAGCATCATCCTTTCTCTGGTTTTTTTGAGTAATGTATTTCAAAGTTTGCCTTTCAATCTCTGGTATTCCATATGAGCAAATTTAGGAGCCTATTTTCTGAGTCCTTTAGGGATGTTTTTTTCTGCTGGAAAAGAGCAGTAAAATCACACAGCTTTGTTTTGTTTTATTTCTTTATACGGGGGAACATTCCTGTATCTCGTTTTACCACCTGCTGTCTTAGCAGTGTCGCTATTTTGTCTTTTTATTGAAAAGTCTTGTGATTTTTCTCGAAGTCGATTTACTGCACTTTAACTGCATTCAGTGAATAATGCCTTTTCCAGCAAATTCATCTGTACATAAAATTGGTAGAGATTTTTTATAAATTTTCACTCTGATTTCTTTAATTGCATCATAGCCTATTACACGTTTGCAGAAAGTGCAATATTTACATGCCACATCTAAGTGATAAAATTATTTCCTATAATGAGTCCATTTCATTGACTTACAGATGCGTGCATGAAAAGCAGAAGGGCAGGAGGAGTAAGGGAGAAGGAGTCTTGGGGAGATCTTTAGCTTTTTATTAACTCTGACAGGCTCAGAATTCTTCCCCTGTAGAACCATCCAGACTCTTCTTAGGCTAACCTTAATAAATCCAGTAATTTCAAGCTTTACTTCTCCTAGCCTCTTCCCTTTTCTTTCACTCTGTTATGCACACTGCCCCATTTGTGAAATTCTCTCAAAATACCATTTCCAGAAATGGGTCCCATTCCCTCAGAGGGACATAACACGAGCAACATATTGTGAACTGCTTTTGGCACCCACGATAACACAAGAATGAGATGGTTTTTCCTCCTCAGTGTGTTTTATTCATTCAGCTGAGATCAAATGTATCCTTTTTTGCTCTTGTCTGGTTAGATGTTCTACCTTTTGGTTGTGTGGGGTTCATTTCCCTCATTAATCCCCTCTTGGTGGGATGCCATGCTCTGCCCTGTTGCTGAAGGCATTAAGGCAAGCCCAGGTCTGAGACAAAGGGCTGAGCAACCTCCCTGGCCAGCAGTGAGATGGTGTAGAGGAAATCCTGGGGGGATGCCTTCTCCTGGCCTCCCTGGTGGATGTGACCATGCTTTCCTGGATCCTTCATCTCCCAGCCTGCCCCAGATGGGGCTGAACAGTTCCTGAGAGGAGTCTGCAGTGGATTCCCCTCACACCTTCCTAGAAAAGCTCTGCTATTCAGGGCTTTCTCTGGGCAGGAATAGGATGACCCCTTATCCCACCAACCTGACAGTTTCTGCTCTGCAGTTCTCCAGTTTTTATTGTGGTCCTCCCAAGCTGTGAAAATGAAAAACAATTAATATACAGTAATTATTCTAATATTTTGTCTTCTGTTCAGGGGATTGTGAGTTGCAGAACACGTAGGGATGTGACTGTGAGGCAATATCTGTACTTGGTCTTGAGTTATTTCATTCTGCTGTAGCACAGAGGTGGAGCATGGGATGCAAGAATATCTTCAGAATAATACAGAAGGATATTTAAAATAAGATTAATTGTATTTTCATTCACCTGAAATGGAGCTACACCAAATCCAAAGTCACTTTCAGCATTAAGACACTTCTGATGTTCCCCAATGCTCATGATAAATAATTTAAATGTGGCTGTTTATAAAAGTAACGATCATGAAGTCAGTGTTGTTAATGATCTATAGATAACAATGAGGACTCTTTCATGCAACCTAATAGGATTAATATAAACTTAGATATTCTTTGATCTATTTTGTCTTATTGCCAAAAGAAAGGTGAAGCCTCGGCAAGCAGAAATATTCTCCCTTGTGGCACAGGTGTTTAATTTTTGCCTTTACTTTTCGTGATATAACCTGCAGTTTGACTCCACATTGCCCTTTAAAAATAACTTTTAGGTGTTCTTATATCAATCTAAGCCATGTGAATGGTGCTATGATTGATTTGCTGGCGGCTGACATTCATCTATAATACATTCACAAGAGGAAGGAGGAATGCAAGTGTTCTCAATCTTTACTCCTCAACTCTTTCCTGAAAACCTCCAATGTGATTTTGAGGATATTTCTGCCTTTGAATCTGTTATTGTCAGGAGGGCTGAGTTAGTCCTTCATAGATTATTCACATATGACATCTTTAGACCTCTATTTGAGAATTTATATCCCACTCCCAGCTTGGAAATAACACTCTGAGGGGTTTTATCTGCAGGACATGTCCACAGGCTGCTTTTTGTGTGTTGGATATTTGAAGGTCCATCTGCTTTATTAACACGCAGTTGGTTCTGTCAATCTACCTATACTACTGTTATGGAGAAAATCAAATTTCCAGAGCATGTGTTAGTTCTGAGGATTTCAGAGCTTAGATAAATGCTCCCCTTAGGTGTGATTGCCTTGTCAGTACCCTGCTCTGCGTGGTGGAGCTGTAGGACACTGCAGAAGGACGTTCGAGAAGAGCCTGCAATTATTTTGGGGTGGGGTTCAGAAAATAGAAAACTTTTTTGTTGGAGCAATATGGATTTGGTCTCTCTTCCAGCAGTTCTCAGAGGTGTGTCAGTAAATAATCTGTGATATTCTTTTGTGTGCTGCCAGCACACAGGTACAGATGGGTCAGTTTATTAATTTACATCTTAAAGGAAATACGTAAATCTGAATAAGAGAAGAGAGTTTAAATATTTAAAATATATTAAGGACTGAGCAAAGGTGAAATAAATATTTTCATATCAACAACCAGCCAGGAGGAAAAATTAATTTCTATAGACCAAGCTCCGTGTTACACTTGAGTGTTATTATTTGATTATTGATCTTCCAAGCATGAAATAAAGGGAAATTTTGTTATACATGATGCTAAAAAATTTAGGAGAAGACAGATGTAGTGTAGTTTACAGAACACCTAGGAACAGTGGGTTTTTTCTGGTTTTATACTCAAGTTATTCTCCCAGGAAATAATCATTTTGGATGTATCTGTGTACTTAGTATTCCTACATGCAATAATGATTAAAATTTTCCTGGAAAGAAGGGCCATGCTATTGCTTCCATCTTATGTTACAGAACTGAAAGTAGCTAAAACTTGTCCTTCTATCAGCAACAAAGTAAAAATGGAGAAAATTTGGAGCCATAGGCTCGAAATTTAATTGCCAGGTAGTTCTTTCTTTTCTGTGATTTTGAGCATTCCTTGCTCATCCTGACCCTGCCTTTCCTGCATCACTGTC